TAAAGGTCGAAGTTAGAAAAATATAAATCACAGTTTAAAAAAAGAAATCAAAGGTAGTTAAATTCCATATTCACTTGACAGTATTTTAGCAGATTTATTAGTCAACCTTTGCTAGGTATAACAAAAAAAATCTTTACCCTCCCTACGAAGGCTGACAACAATGGATGTAACCTGGTAACATTTACCAACACAAGGGAGCACAATTGTCAGTATTTACCTACCCCCACGCAGGCGGATATGACACTTGGTCAGTTTAGAATGTGCTCATACGCGTAAAAATGAGCAAAGAACAAAATTTGCACAGTCCCCTATGATTTAGTGTCAAGGTGATGTTGATATGTACCAAGTCTCCATTTTTTTTTTTTTTTTTTTTTTGTTAGTGGCAGTTAAGAAGGTGCTACTACAGGATTGGAATCACAGAAACTAGAAAATTCTCATAGCCGAGATGGTTAAAAACACGTCGGATCTAACGCCGGTTTCTTCTGCAAAGAAGGACGCATCTTCGAATCCTGGTGGAGGGCACATTTTTCTCTAATAAGATTTCTCGAGTGTCCCAGCCAGAAGAAATAAAATATTGTTCAGAAAAATAAACGATGCGTCTATTCAAATATGGGTATCCAGTAACAATAACGTTTAAAGCAATAAAAATGTCAGATTAATAAATAGAAATTCATTACTTCTTGATATATATATTAAGACATTTTATGTTTATACATTCTTTTTATAGATACAACTATTTAAGTAAATGCTCTGTTTATAATAAACAGTATTAAGCATTTACCGGCCTGAACGTCCGAGAAATTTTCACAGAAAATATTCGTCCTCCGACAGGATTCGAACCTGTATCCTTTACGGAACTGTCATTTAGCTTGACGTGCCTTTAACCGATTTGGCCACAGAGGAGCGTTCGGTTAGCAAAGTCGAATTTACTGTCTTTAAACTTCAATCTTCTATGAATCTCTCACGTACATTCATATCTGCTCATGGCGTATCAAATGTAAACAAATGATGTCACACATTATGAAATGGACAAAGTCCGACAATTATTTTAATATACATATATATATATATATATATATATATATATATATATATATATATATATATATATATATATATATATATATATATATTGTGAATGAAACCCAAACTGAAGATTAAAAAATAACGGACCAAGCAATTCTAATTCAAAGGTAAATGAATAAATACTGTATTTACGATGCAACCTTTACCAAAATATACAATTTGAGCCCTGTGTTCCTGAACAATTTTACCCCTTTCTGTCTAGAGCTTCTGAGTCAAAAATCGCAAATAATTGGTATGTAATGTTTCATGGTAGATATAAAAATAGTTAAAAGTGTTTACCCACCGTTCAACCGGTGGTTGGGCATTAAGTCATTTTTCTCTACCACCGGTAAAGCGGTGGTCAAGTTTCAAAAGGTTAATAATAAAAAAAATCCTTTGATCTTTTCTCTTAATAATAATTTAAAGATTTTGACGATAAGACTTTGTTTTTATTAAGTTTGCAGCATTTTTTCATAATGGCATGCTCTTTTTTTAGCGAATAAATGAATGTACCGAAATAAAATTAAGACATTAATTAATTAATTAGAAAAGATCTCAATTACTTCAATGAATAAGATATATTAAGGACACTATTGCCTCAAGAAAAATGTTTTTAACGCATATTGAATTTTTACAGGAAGTTTCCATTTTTGTAAAAAAAAGTTATTTAGAATAATTTATAGATTTAAATATTTTAAAATTTTGTATTAATTTGTTGTTAAGTAAAATCTATATTTTACTATGGTCACGTGGCTCGAAATTCGATTGGTCAGGAAGGTGACTTTGATGTTATCGTTCTGGAGAGCGAGAAGAAAGGACTAAGCATAAACTACAAGAAGCCAGAATGCATGGTCATCACTAAGAGGATGATCCCGAAATGGTCGGGGACACTAAGATCAAGCAGATTTATCCCAAAATATAAAAAGGAAATTGAATAAACACCCGGCTGCAAAAAAGCAACTAAAACCGAATTATATCCCCAGCCTTATATAATAGCGATTTATAAAAGAATTTCTCTTCGAAATAGATACAAAATAAAAAAGAAATCTTAAAAACTATCCGATTTGGCGCGAAATGACTCTTTAGGGTCCTTATGCCGGTAAAATAACCAATCTAAATCGAAATCCTGCTATATTTAAAATTCAAAGTAAAATCAAAATTGGAGTTAATATTGCTTGGAACTTTTGTTTCATCAAATTATTTACTATTTAAATTATGTACATGGGGATCGGAGAATCATGAAAATATCATTGGAGTCATAAAATATAGCATTTAAAAAATCTGCTATTTATATTGGGCTCTTAAATTTTATTATCCTCTTTTATTGGATCAAAGGAATTATGGATTATTATAAACATTTTGTTATTTTAATAATTGTGTAAAATTTTCATGGTAATTCTTCTGATGAGCTTTCATCTTTGGTATCTTGTATACTTATTTAATATGGTATATTTATTTCCAGTATATTACAATTTCCTATTTTTACCAAAATGGGCCAGCACAGCCAGGTAACAATGGTATAACAATGCAGCAGTGAATATATTAATTATACTAATATAGATAAATGTTGTATAACAGGGGAAAATATTTTTCATAATTTTTTATTTCAATTTTTAAATTTATTTAAAGAATAAAATATAGTATTGACTGATGGTAGATAGGTTCAAAGTCACAATTTCATTTAATAATATATTTTAATACTTTAAAAATATTTGGGTAATGTTTTGACAGAGGACGGTAAGTGCGACACTGAGATCCGTAGACGTCTTGCCAAGGACACATTCCAAAAGATGGGCAGAGTATTGCGAGACAGGAGGATTTCTTTGGTAACAAAGAAAAGAATACTGAATTCTTACGTGACATATGTCCTCCTTTACGGCAGCGAATGTTGGGCGATTTCCTCAAAGATAGAGAAGAGACTCGAGGCGACGAAGATGTGGTTCTACAGAAGGATGCTAAGGATATCATGGCCGAGCATATGAGCAACATTGAGCCTTTGGAGAGGTTGCAAACAAGGAGGAAGCTTATACTTAACACCAGAAAGAAGCAGCTGAAATTTCTGGGACACGTAATGAGAAAGGAGGGCTTGGAGAATCTGATACTCACGGGTCGAATAGAGTGAAAATGTGAGAAGGGAAAGCAACGTATGACATACCTGGCGGACTTAAGCAAGTTGATGACAGCAAGTGGGGGAAGTGTCAGAGGGACGAAACTTATTGAGAGCTACAAGGGATAGAGGGGAGAGCCATGATCACCTACGCCCTGAAGGGACACGTCACATAAAAAAAAATAATATAAAAAAGTTAAATGCAAACAAAAGCTATCCTTAAACGTAAACTTGTTAAAACTGAACGCTACTAACGTAGCTGAACGGCAAATCTAAAATAAGCCATCTCAATAAAATCTTTTCCACATCGCTAAGGGTTAAATAGTAGCGTAGACTGGGCTTTTTAGTCTTATGTGGCAACAAACCTAAGGGGAAATCAACTAAGAAATCCCGGCAATTCATAGATAATAAAAAGGAAAGAACACTGTGGAGATACATAAGCGCCTACGTCCCGAAAGCCATGGCATTAAAAAAACTATATTTAGTCGGGGGCTAAATTCATAGTAACTGGTCTACTACTAATGTACAGTGGGCACTTTTCCACACTTACTTAGAGGTTGTTTTTCTTGCCCCCAACCTCTAGACTTATACCGGTGTACTCAGACGTACGCCATCTTGCAGACAACTATAGTAGACACACCCTGTTTTCTTAGGATGCCAACCACTTCAAAGAAGTTATTTTAATGGTATGTTAAAGTCATTCACACTAGTTGAATTTCTTAGGTCACTAAACACTTGAGGCACAGAACATCTGTTAAAGACAGTTCCATACAAAAAATGTAGCTACTCACCTAGCTAATGAACTTGTGTAACTTGCCAAAAACAGGCACTAGGAGAGATATGAGCCACAAAGGACAGGAAGTTGTGGAGAGTTATGATCGCCCAAGTCCTGAAGGGACATGACACAAAGAAGAGGAATGAGCTTGCGTAGATGGTTACTAGACTGGGACTAAGAGAGATAGCAAAAAGACAAAAGAGCTACAAAAGACAGGAAGTTGTGGAGGGTCATGATCACCCACGTCCTGAAAGGACATGACACAAAGGAGAGGAAGAAGAATGATCTTATGCAGATGTTTGATAAAATAGGAACTAGGACAGATAGCAAAAAGACAGGAAGTTGTGGAGAGTAATGATCGCCCACGTCCTGAAAGGACATGGCACAAAGAAGAAGAAGAAGAATGAGCTTGTGTAAATGGTTGATAAAATAGGAACTAGGACAGATAGCAGAAAGACTGGAAGTTGTGGAGGGTCATGATCATCCACGTCCTGAAAGGACATGACACAGAGAAGAGAAAGAAGAATGAGTTTGTGTAGATGGTTAATAAAATAGGAACAAGGAAAAATAGCAAAAAGACAAAACTTACTAAGAGCTACAAAGAATAGGTAGTTGTGGAGAGTCATGATTTTCCACGTCCCGAAGGGACATGACACAAAGAAGAAGGTTCAATCTTAAGTGTAGTTCAATTGATTGATTTGTTTTCTATGGGTTATCAACCTTTTGGGCATTATTGCAAAGCCAGAACATATTTTTAGATTGTAAGAATTTTGGAAATAATAATGATTTACAGATACTAATTAACCCATATCTGGGGAGAGGGATTGATACCTTTCCGGGTTTTTTTTGTGAGTAAATGAATATGGCGAACGCGAATATGACGAAATGAATATAATCACACATATATCCCCTAAGTATCTGTCCAAGTTCGACGTTGCTTAACTTCGGTGGTCGTACGTGAACCAGTGTTTCAAAGTAATTTAGCCATAAGTCTAGTGTAGTTCAGGTACTTAAATGAAAAAAAAAAAAAAAACGTAATTGTTACATTTTAAAATGGCAGCAAAAGATTACAATCTCTCCCTCTCCCTCTCTCTCATTCTCTCTCTCTTTCTTTTTAGTTTTCAATTCCAGACAATCTCAGGCTGTTTCTTTCTCCACCTCTCAATAAGACGCTATCTCACTCTTTCAATACGAGGCTATCTCTCTATCTCTCTCACCGTTAAATACGAGACTATGTCTCCATCCACCTTTCAATACGAGGCTATCTTCTTCTCTCTGTCTCTCTTCAACTTTCAATACGAGGCTATCTATCTCCCCATCTTTCAATACGAGGCCATCTCTCTCTCTCTACTTTTCACTACAATGCTATCTCTCTCTCTTCGCCTTTCAATACGAGGCTATCTCTCTCTTTCTCTCTCTCTCTCTCTCTTACCTACAATGCTATCTCACTCTCTTTCTTTCCACCTTTCAATACGAGTCTATATCTCTCTCTCTCTCTTCACCTTTCAACACGAGGCTCTCTTTCTCTTCCTCTCTCTCTCTCCATCTTTCAATACGAGTCTCTCACTCTCTTTACCTTCCAATACGAGTCCATCTCACCTTCCCCACCTTTCAATACAACCCCCATCTCTCTCTCTCTCTCTCTCTCTCTCCACCTTTCAATACAAATCTATATCTCTTTCTCTCTTCACCTTTCAATACGACCCCCTCTCCTCTCCTGTCCTCTCTCTCTCTCTCTTCACCTCTCAATACGATTTGATTTGTACAATATCGTTTTACAAGTAGGATGTCCTGTTCATAATATAAATGCAAATGTCAAATCGATCCTTGAGTTTTTAAAGACTTATTTGTACTTTGTTTTTATTTACAAGTGTCAGGTTTGAAATTGTGTCTACGTCATTGATAACTGCGTACTATTAATGTCCTTTTTCCCCAATTCGTAGTAGTACACAGTTATCAATGACGTAAGAGCAGTTTTAAACTTGACCTTTGTAAATAAAAACAAAATACAAATAACTCTTTCTGAAGTCAGAGATCTGCCTGAGATTAAAATCAAGTGACATTTTAATGGAATACAGGTAAAACAAATGTTACAGGTAATTCTATTGAAAAAATTAATCAAATGGTCGACCTTATCTGTTATGGACAACGTATGCTGTTAAGCGTTCATTGAAATCATGTGCGGGGTTAAGTGTCAGCAGATTATAATAAAAATGCACAAAAGACACTTGGAGATAACCGAGACCTCCGGAAGAGGCATGGCACGTGGAACTAGAACAATCCACCCCGGTGAACGAAATAAAGGGTTCAGTTCGAAATTTCAACCGCCTGAAGAAGGCCGGAGCGTACAACGGCCGAAACGTCGTGAATATTGCAATAAAGATGAGGACAACAGTCCGAACAATGTAAATAATTACAATGTCTCATCTCAGAAATATAGACAGATCCTGAAGAAGGCCGGAGCGTACAACGGCCGAAACGTCGTGAATATGGCAATAAAGATGAGGACAACAGTCCGAACAATGTAAATAATGCAAAAGAGTATTTCTAGTTATTACTGTTAATTCCTTTGATGACTTCAGGACATTTTTCACTGAACATTTTTGTAAAAAATAAAATTAAAACATCCTAAGATCACAAGCATTTTACATAGATAAAGCCCTTCGTAATGTGTGAGCTGTACTTGTGAGTACAAATTTTTGCATTTCTTTAAGGCATGGGCTACCAGGTATCCTCGTCCTGGGTATGACGATAAACTACATCCGCGTCCTGGGTAAGACGATAAACTACTGTCCAACAGCAAGGCCGCTGATCAGGAGGTTTTGAGGAGCGTGGAACCACTTCTTAATTGTTGGGATTCTCAGATCCACCCTGCCCCTGTAGTGATAGTGTTGACCATGTTTGCCGCAGTCTCTGAATATGGAATCCAGTGAAGTCCGTAATCTGTTCAATATCAGAGGTCGGCATTGAAGATTCAGAGAAAGTAGCGGTTGTTAAGTAATTCTTTAAGTCTTCGATATCAGGTTAGCAGTGAGGATAACTTGGGAGAGAAAACAAAAATGGCCGCCTTTATACACGTCGGATTGAGCTTTCTGATTGGTTAACCTTCTCTTGGTGAACTATAAAATGAGTCATCTCATTTTGACTGGCTCACTAGTAAAGAATACAGAAAAAACTGCAACAGATAGCACGTCTTAGGTTCCCAGTTATGGACAAATAGTTTACCAACAATACATATTTGAAGGAAAATTACCAGAAATAGATTTTTAAAAAATATTACCAATAAAAATTTTGTCAGCATTACATCACCCATTAAGGTTGATATGCCGTAAAACAAACCAAACAAAACCATGGATCCCTTCAACGAATCTACTGGAACTTTTTCCAATCAATCCGAGGGCTCCTAATACAACTGGAATTGTTGATACCTTCATTTGCCACATGTTTTAGATTTCTACTTAAAGATCCTTGTATTTTAATGGATTTTTTTGAAGATCTTCTACATTACAGTCTGCAGTGAGTGTCGTGTCTATAAGAAAGCAAATTCTATTTTTGTTGTCTTCCATCACTATGTCTAGGCGATTAGTTTTGACTGTCTTTTGTTTTTAATCATTTCACCCCAAGCAAGGCGATAATGCCACTAAGACGCAAGAGATTAAAGAGAATGAGAAGACATTCAGGGAAGGAACCGGAAACTCAATCCTAAACAGGAAGCAATGTATAAACCTCTCGTCCTGTTCAAAAGACTGGGAGGAGTGTGAATTGTAAAATCCCCCTAAAATGGTTACATGTCCTATTATTATTATTATTATTATTATTATTATTATTATAACCTTGGTTTTTTGTCGCATACACATTTTCTTCCGGATTCCAACCAAAGACCGGAGGCCAGTAATGGCTTCATGACATTTTTCACTGATCATTTTTTGTAAAAAAAAAATCAAGAAAAATCATCTAAGGTCACACACATTTTACATAGATAAAGCCCTTCGTAATGTGTGAGCTGTACTTGTAAATACAATTTTTTGTATTTCTTTAAGCTACCAGGAATCCCGTTAATGACTCTATGATAACCTTTTCCATTTAATCCGAGTATTCCAACTATAACTGGAATTATTGATGTCCTCATCTACCACATTTTGGAGATTTCCACTTTAAGATCCTTGTATTTTGATAGTGTTTTGAACATCTTCAAAGATGGATTACAATTTTCAGGGACTGTCATATCAATAGGAATGCACATTCTGTTCTCGAGGTCTTTGATCACGATATCTGGGTGATTAGCTTTGATTGTTCCGTTTGTATGTATTGTAAAGTCCAATAAAATTGTTACAGGTCTTATCTCTGTAACCGCATCTGGGTGATGTTCATACCAGTTTGTTACAGTTTCCTTCTTGTAAAAGTTGCATATTTTCCAGCGCAGATATTGGCACAATCTATCATGGCGAGTTTTATATTCAGTTGATGGTAACACCGTGTAACCTGATACAAGATGATCAATTGTTTCTGGATATTTATCACAGAATCTGTATTTCGGGTTAACACAATTTTTTTCAGTATGTTCGCTTGGTAATTTCTAGTTAGCAAGAAGAATAAAACCTTCTGTTTCAGCTTTTAACCTTGCACTATGTAACCATTGATAGGTACAGGGTTTGTCTACATCAGCTTGTTTGGTACGGGCAGACTATTGACAATGAAGAGGTTTATCTTACACCATTATTATTAATATTATTATTTGGCCATTGTGATCTTTGGATGACAATTATTGTAATCAACATCTTTATTAAGTAATTAGGATAATTACAACTGCCATCCATCTCCTTGTCATTAGATTTTATTCTCAAGGTTCTAATTACAATGTTTTAATTTGCCATTCTTATCTCATTACGAGGCTTGACTTTATTATCAGATGGAGTTTAATTATCTTTGTCTTTCTCATTATGACCATGTTAAAAACTTTACTTTTACTCCTACTAATATCTACATATTTAAAACTACTACCTTTATTAATATAATTACTATTACTACTACTAATGTCATTATCGTCACTGCTACTTCTCTTGTAAGCACCACTACAGCTACTATTGATACCCTTACTACTATTATAGTGATAGATTTGTTTTTTACGGTTTATCAACCTTTTGCAGGTTATTTTGAAGCCAGAAAATATTTTTAGATTATAAGAATGTTTTGGAGATCATAATTATTTACTGATACAAGTCCTACTATTTAACCCATAATTGGGTAGAGAAGAGGTGGATTCATGCTTTTCCCGAGGTTATTTGTGCGTAAGTGAATATAAACTCGACTGGAATTGGAACTCGGCTCTCCGATTTCCAATTTCAAGCCTTTATCCATCACACCACTGCACATCCCAGATTATAGCATTCGGTATTCCCAAGCGGTTTACCTATCTATTTATTGACCAGGTACGACGTTGCTTAACTTCGGTGATCGTACGTGAACCGAAGTTAAGCTACTACTACCGCTACTACTGTTACGAACATTATTATTACAACTAGCATCGTTACTACTACTACTACTATTACTATATTACTACTGAGTGCTTCTTCCCATCCTCATCGCTGGGCATCTGGTTTTGTATTCTGAATTGTCATTCTCATAGACTGGTTACTAACCACGGCTAGAGATTTGGATTCCTACTTTTGATAAAGGAATTTGTGCGTAAGTGAATAGAGCGAATCCGACTGGAATTCGAACTCGGCTCACCGAGTTCTCATTCCCCGAGTTGCGATCGATAACATCACCCATCCATCCTGCTCATGATTCCCATCGGCGAAAAAAGGGATGTCGATGGGTCTCGCCAGAATCTATCTCACACATGTATAAGTCTACCATACGCCTATGCATTGAATATTGCTGCCACATCTGCAATGTCGTTGGTCCTGACCTGGCATCTCGGCATCATTCACTTTCCCGTCCCCGTAGCTTCCTTGTGCATATTTTCATGGTAATTCTTCTGAAGACCTTTCATCTTTGGTATCTAGAATTTATGTATCTGGGATCATTACTAGATTGACGGCATTTTACAGTTGAAACGGCTAGGTGTAACCGTAAGTTCTATGCTGGCAGTGCCTGATCTTGTGGAAATCTCTCCCGGCTTCTTGTTTTCTCGTCAACTTTGAGCCTCAAAAGAATTAAATGCAATGTCAATCGTCATCTTCTGTCTTCTTAATTCATGTTCTTTTATTGTTCTCTCTCCTTAATAATGTTTTCTTTTTTCTCATATTCTCTCACACTCAATAACCACTTGCGTCTTAGTGGCTTCATTGCCTTTATTGGGATGAAAGGATAAATAAAGGAGACTGCCTCATCTTATATATCCCAGGAATGGTTGATCAATGTATTTAACGATAGTATATCATTCGCCTCCTATAGCTCCTGAATAATAAAAAAAAGAAACTCCCCCCCCCCAGCAATGCAATAGCACCCCACTAGGGCACAGGAGGTTACAGGGAGTGAAAGAGAATGAGAAGATTATAGTGAGGAAAAAATACAAGAAAGAAACAGGTTTCAGGAAGATTGTAGGCGTCAGGGAAGCAAGTAATTGGAAAGGATTACACAGGTGAGAAGTGCGAGAAACTGTTAGCATAAAACTGATGGTTACATCTAGCTAGTTCAACAGTAAAACGGTGAGACCTAACTGCCAATCTAGTAGCACGCTTAAATTCAAACAGCCGAGGGACCAAGGAGAACAGCTCATCAGAACAATTGTAGAAAAAACAGAGGGAAAGCCACGTCATATAGACGGTAAAGTGACTAAAGTCGAGCTCAGGACCGATTAGGGCCCCCCTTTGAGAGTGTCGAACCCAAAGCCATTCTAGAATTGTTAAAAGTAACATAACTCTTTCCCAAAATATAAAAAGGAAATTGAATAAACACTCGGCTAGAAAATGCAACTAAAACCGAATTACATCCCCACCCTTATATAATAGCGATTTATAAAAGAATTTCTCTTCGAAATAGATACAAAATAAAAAAGAAATCTTAAAAACTATCCGATTTGGCGCGAAATGACTCTTTAGGGTCCTTATGCAGGTAAAATAACCAATCTAAATCGAAATCCTGCTATATTTAAAATTCAAAGTAAAATCAAAATTGGAGTTAAAATTGAAATTTGTTTGAAATTTGTTTGATCAAATTATTTACTATTTAAATTATGTACATGGGGATCGGAGAATCATGAAAATATCATTGGAGTCATAAAATATAGCATTTTAAAAAATCTGCTATTTATATTGAGCTCTTAAATTTTATTATCCTCTTTTATTGGATCAAAGGAATTAGGGATTATTATAAACACTTTGGTATTTTAATAATTGTGTAAAATTTTCATGGTAATTTTTCTGATGAGCTTTCATCTTTGGTATCTTGTATACTTATTTAATATGGTATATTTATTTCCAGTATATTACAATTTCCTATTTTTACCAAAATAGGCCAGCACAGCCAGGCAGCAATGGTATAACAA